ATGTGCTTACTATTACCAGTGAGATTTATACCCTCAGATGATTTCTGATTGCTCATTAACCTCCTTTTCTTTCAGATTGAAGGACTCCCTTTAGCTTTTCTTTCTTTCTTTCTTTCTTTTTTAAGGACAGGTCTGGTGTTGATGAAATCCCTCAGCTTTTTCTGTCTTTATTTTTCCTTCATGCGTAAAGGATATTTTTGCTGGATATACTATTCTAGAGTAAAAGTTTTTTCCTTCAGCACTTTATATATGTCATGCCACTCTCTCTCTGGTCTGTAAAGTTTCCACTGCAAAGTCTGCTTCCAGACATACTGGAGCTCCATTGTATATTGTTTCTTTTCTCTTGCTGCTATTAGGATCCTTTCTTTATCCTTGAGCTTTGGAAGTTTGATTAACGTCTTGAGGTAGTCTTCTTTGGGTTGGATTGGCATGCCATTCTATAACCTTTTTGTACTTGAATATTGATATCTTTCTTTAGGTTTGGGAAGTTCTGTGATATTATCTGTTTGAAAAAACTTTCTACCCAATCTCTTTATCTATTTCCTCAAGGCCAATCACAAATTTGCCGTTTTCAGGCTATTTTCTAAATCTTGTAGGTGTGCTTCATTCTTTCTGATTCTTTTTTGATCTCCTATATGTATTTTTTTTTCTTTGTGTGTGTGTGAGAGATGGACTTTCACTCTTGTTGCTCAGGCTGGAGTGCAGTGGCATGATCTCAGTTCACTGGAACCTCCGTCTCCTGGGTTCAAGTGATTCTCCTGCCTCAGCCTCCCAAGTAGCTGGGATTACAGGCATGCACCACCACACCCGGCTAATTTTTGTATTTTTAGTAGAGACAGGATTTCACCATGTTGGTCAGTCTGGTCATACACTCCTGACAGCCGAGGTGATCCACCCACCTTGGCCTCCCAAAGTGCTGGGATTACAGGCGTGAGCCACAGTGCTCCTCTGTGTATTTTCTAATAGACTGTCATCACTCTCACTAATTCTTTCTGCTTGTTCAGTTCTGCTATTAAGGGACTGGACTCTGATGCATTCTTCAGTATGTCAGTTGCATTTTTTGACTCTAGAATTTCTGCTTGATTCTTTTTAGTTATTTCAATCTCTTTGTTAAGTTTATCTCATAGAATTCTGAAATCCTTCTCAATGTTATCTCAATTTCTTTGAGTTTCCTGAAAACAACTATTTCGAATTCTGTCTGAAAGGTCATATCTCTGTTTCTTCCGAATTGGTCCCTGGTGCCTTATTTAGTTCATTTGGTGAGGTGATGTTTTCCTGGCTGGTGTTGATGCTTGTAGATGTTTGTCTGGGCAATAAAGAGTTAGGAATTTATTCTAGTCTTTGCAATCTGTGCCTGCCCTTCTTAAGAAGGCTTTCCAGGTATATAGAAAGACTAGGGCCCCAAGCTCAGTAATGCTGTGGTTCTTCCAGACTCGTAGAGGTCCCACCTTGGTGGTCTTGGATAAGATTAGGAAGAATTCTCTGGATTGCCAGGCAGAAACTCTTTTTCTTTTATTTTCTCCCAAACAGAGTCTCTCTGTGCTGAGCCACCTAGAACTGGGGGTGAGGTGATGCAAACACCCATGTGGCCACCATAACTGGAACTGCCCTGGGGCAGACATGAAATCAGCATAGCACTGGGTTTTGCCCAAAGCCCATTATAACCACCACCTGGCTACTGCCTATGTTTGTGCAAGGCCTTATGCCTCTACAATAAGCAGATGTTGAAGCCAACTAGGTTTGTGTCCTTCTCTTCAGGATGCTGAGTTCTCCCAGCCCCAGGCAGGTCCAGAGATGCTATCTGGGAGCCAGGGATTGGAGTAACTACCTTAGAAATATGTCTTACTCTCCTGCGACTAGGCTGGCACCCAAATCACAAGACAAAATCCTTCCCACTCTTCCCTCCCCTTTCCACAAGCAGAGGAGCCTCTCCCTGTGGCCACTGCCACCACTGACCCATGGCGAGTTCTGTCTGACCACCAATGTTCACTTAAGGCCCAAGGGATCTTCAGCCAGCTGTGGTGAATGTTGCCAGGCCTGGGACTTACCCTTCAGGGTAGTGAACTCTGGCACAGAGCAGGTCCAAAAATGCTATCCAAGAGTCTGGACCTGGGGACCCCAAGAGCCTGGACCTGGGGACCCCAAGAGCCCGTTGGTACTCTACACCACTGTGGCCAAACTGATACCTGAAGCTGGCACGTCTGAGTCTCACCCAAGGCCTGCAGCATACTGCCTGTGCATTGCTATTGGTTACTCAGGGCCCATGGGCTCCTTAGTCAGCAGGCGATGAAACCTGGCAAGAATGGGTACTTCCTTTAGGCAGAGGGTTCCCTTCTGGCCCAGGGTGTGTCTAGAAATGTTGTCTGGGAGCTAGGGCCTAGGATGGGGGCCTCACAATTCTGCCAGGTGCCCTGTCCTATTTTGGTTCAGTTGGTATCCAAGATGCAAGACAAAATCCTTACTCTTCCCTCTCCTCTCCTCTCCTCAAGCAGAAGGAAGGAGTCACTTTTGTTGTTGTGAGCTGCACTGCCTGGGGTTGTGGGAGGGGTTGCAGAAGCACTTCCTTAGCCACCCCAACTGGTGTCCCGTGTCCACTGGCTCTGCACTCAGCACAGAACAGGACTTACCTAGGAATTGCAGTCCCTGTGGTCTAGAGTGCTTTTCAGGTTTATTTAGGACCTCAGAACACTTTGGCCCACAGAGTTGAGGCTTGTTGAAATTCAAGTTCTGACTGCTGGGATGGGCAATTCCTCTCTGACTAGGGCTGATCGAGATGCTCCTTCTGTTGATGGATGGGCATCTGCTGAGTTTAACTCAGTTTTGCTTTCTGCTGTGACCAGGCAACACTGAGTTCAATGCAGGATCCCACAACCACTGTACTTTCTCTCAAGGGCACAACACCTGCTACTGCTAGAGGAATGGGGGAGTGGCAGTGTTACCAATTCAAGACTATCTTTCCTACCTTCTTTCAGTAATATGAAGTTAAAACCAGGTACTCTGATTGCTCACCTGATTTCTGGTTCTTTTGAAGTTGCTTTTTTTGTGTGTATAAAGACGTTAAATCAGTGTTCCTGCATTGGGGGACGATTGGTGAAGGCTTTTATATTCAGCCATCTTGCTCAGCCCTCTCCTGATTGAACTATTTCTTAAAAATTATTGTGGCTGGGCACAAAGGCTCACATGTGTAATCCCACTACTTTGAAAGGCTGAGGCAGGAGGATCACTAAGGCCAGAAGTTCAAGACCAGCCTCGGTAACGTAGCAACAACCCATCTCTACAACAAATAAAAAAATTATCTGGGCATGGTGGTGCATGCCTGCAGTCCCAGCTACTTTGGAGGCTAAGGTGGGAGGACTGCTTGAGCCCAGGATTCAAGGTTGCAGTGAGCTATGATCTTGCCACTGCACACCAGCCTGGGCAACAGAATGACACCTTGTCTCTAAAAGATTAAATAATTTATTTATTTTAAAGACTTTTCATTATGCTTGAATATTTTTTTGTGTTTTTTCTTTATGCTTGAATATTTTCAAAATAAAAATTAGGGAAAACATTTCTCTCTCATGTTTATATTCAAATAATTCCATTGGCCTTCAAACTCTAGCTAGTCTTTCTTAGCATATAAATTATTCTCTGAGGCATATCTAAAATAATAATTTCTCTTTTTTTCTTTTTTTTTAGAAGGAGGCTCACTCTATCACCCAGGCTGGAATGCAATGGCATGATCTCAGCTCACTGCAATCTCTACCTCCTAGGTTCAAGCGATTCTCCTGCCTCAGCCTCCCGAGTAGTTGGGACTACAGGCGCGTACCACCATGCCCAGCTAATTTTTGTGTTTTTATAGAGACGGAGTTTCAGCATGCTGACCAGGCTGGTCGTGAACTCCTGACCTCAGGTGATCTGCCTGCCTCAGCCTCCCAAAGTGTTGGGATTACAGGTGAGAGCCACTGTGCCCAGCCATTCCTCATTTTTAACTTCCAACTTCTTCAGAACAATTAATAAATATATCATGCCACTTTGTATTAACGGGTGATTTACATTTTTAAATCATTCAGTCAACTGCAAGCTCTTTAAGGTAAGGTCTGGATTTTATATAATGCTGCACAAAACTGATCTCAGTGTATTACTCATATTACACCACGTCTGTTAGTGGTTATTAAGTTAAGCCAGCAAACAGTAACTTTTTTACTCCAGCTTGCCAGGAGGAAAAAAAAAAAAATAGAAGTCAAGCAGAGAGTCTATCTAAAATATCAGCATATTGTTTGTACAGCATAAAATTCATACAGCAATCAAAGAGTTTTACAGTCTCTACCTAGATGCTCATTGTTATTGAATGACTCATATTCTTTATAAATTTTATTTAAAAGTTGCAGTCTAAGTCTTAACTTTAACATGATTAACAGTATTATGTTTTTTCTTTATGTTTTGAATTTTTTTTGTAGACATGGGGTTTATTTTGCCCAGGCTGGTCTTGAATTCTTGCCTCAAGAGATTATCCCCCTTTGGCCTTTCAAAGCACTGGATTACAGGCATAAGCCACCACTGTAGGCCAAAGTACTTTGTCTTTAAATAAGGGGTTTATAAGTGTATAAATCATATATCACTAAATTTTACCATATTTTCCTGAAGTAGTAGATAAAAAATAATTTTTTTTTTGAGACATAGTCTTGCTCTGTTGCCAGGCTGGAGTGCAATGGCATGTTCTCTGCTCACCGCAACCTCTGCCTCCTGGGTTCAAGCGATTCTCTTGCCTCACCCTCCAGAGTAGCTGGGATTATAAGTGTTTGCCACCATGCCCGGCTAATTTTTGTATTTTTAGTAGAGATGAGGTTTCACCATGTTGGCCAGGCTGGTCTCAAACTCCTGACCTCATGATCTGCTGCCTCAGACTCCCAAAGTGCTGGGATTATAGGCGTGAACCACCATGCCCAGCTGAAAAATACATTTAAATTAATTCATAGGTGGATGGGGAAAAAAGGCATATAATGAGAACAAGTGATCTGTCCTAAATCGCACAATCAATTCTCAATACTTTATATCTCTTTTCAATGATGCATGCTTGTTTTCTACTTGATGAGTTGGATTGTACTTTACAAGAAACCTAAAATAAATCGTTAGGTGAGGAAATGTGACTTTGATTCATTAAAAAATATATATTTATGCATAATGTATTCTTATACCTGTAATTTATAAATATTCATAAAGATTTCTATGCTTCAGTCTGTTTCTTGATATAGGTCTATTTCATTTATATAATCATAAATAATATGTCAGTATTTATTTTGCTGATTTAAGGTTTTCATCCAAAAGTTCAACAATGGCTTCTTCATCTGCTGATTGAAGCAGTCTCTGAATTAGCTGATCCAGGCTCTTCCCACCACATACAAATTCCTGGTAAAAGAGAGAGCTATAATGAAACCTGATAATTAGAAATACAAAGACTTTAATGTTTATTTCATTTCTTTGCAGTTATTATTTAATAACAATAAAAGATTACTGGCGTTCTACAATATAATGAACATGATTGGTAACTTGGGAAGATACCCCACTCTGCAGTAAGAATTAAGTTAGCATTTAATTTTAAAATAAATCTTCTGAGATTTGGATTTTTCTAACAACTCTGGAGATAACAAAATGAAGAGATCTAAATGGACTTTTGAAATTGACCACCTCCCTCTCTTTAATATTCCATTGGTTGGCTTTTATGACAATACCATTCTAGGCTCTCAAACCATCTTTGGGAGAACTGGTTTGTTGCTGAATTGTACCCTAAAAAAATGGCTTAATTCTTGTCCTGAAAATTCTACCCTTTTCACTCACGTTATTTCCCAAAGGAAAAAGACTGACAGGTCTCAATTCCTCTAGCATTTTGTTCCACAAGCATTTTGTGCATTAATGTGCATACTGCTCTTTGCCAACTCCTCTGGATGTGGCTTAGAGGAAGCCTCCCCCAACCATTTAGGACAAGAATTTCTGTATGTTTTATGTTGTAAATATTCTGTATGCTGTCTCCTCAGCAGGATATGGCTATCTTGCATAGGAAAATAGTAGCCATGTTGAAAAGGAGGAAAATATTTGCAAAGTTCCCTTTCCTCTGGAAACATACAGTATTAACCAAACATGTTTGGCCACATTGTTCTAATTACACCATGTTCTTTCAGTTCTTTTTCTGGTAGCCGTGACAATTTTCTGGGAGACAGCCACATTCTCGTGACCAGTAATATCTTTCAGATGGGCCCTTAGGTGCATAGTATAGTATTCAGTTGTGAAACAAAGGCAAGGTAACTAACTGGCTTCTCTAGTTATAAAATATCTGACTTTGGCCTAACTAACAATAAATGACTAACCAAACTAGCATGCAAAACTCAGAAGTAATAAGGAAAATAACACTGATAAGCTCTAATAATCACTAACTAGTCTACTGGAAGGAAAGAAGACATTCCATAGTAGTAAAAGGAACAGAATTAAAAACAGCATGAAAAACATGCAGAAATTTACAAACATATGAACAACACAGGCATTTCCCTTGTAAAACCAGGCCTTTAATTTTGAGTACAGAATGGGACAGAGTCAAGTAAAGAAGCCTTAGATATCACACGGCACCAAGGAAAAGGATCAAAGCTTTCTGTCTGCTGCCTTTTCCACATAGTCCTTTATGGAACCAGTTCACCTCCTTCAGAGGCAGCAAAACAGACATTTTTCTGCACTTCATCATTAATATATTTATGTCAGTGGTCTTTGCTAGATGCTATTTAGGTAGGTTAATGTTTGAACAATCTTGACAGAGTCTTTTCCCCAACAGCCTAACTGTAACACCTCAATCTAATGAAGACACATTGTGGTAGGGAGAATACTAAGATGCCTCCTGGTGTACACACCGTGAGTAACTCCCTCTCAGTGCAGACAGAGACTGTGAAAATGACGGAGTATCATTCTAGTGTCTAGGTGACTAAGCAGTTGCTTTTGAGTTAATCAAAATGAACATTATCCAGGTGAGCTTGACCTAAACAGGTGAGCCCTTAAAAGGCCCAAGCCATTCCTGCAAGAAGAGATTCAAAGTGGGAGAAAGTCTCTGGAGGGAGCCACTGGGAAGCAACTTCCAGCAGTATTTGGGTGCTGAAAAGCAGCCTCTAGATGACTGCCAGCAAAGGAATGGGGACTTGAGTCCTATAATCCAAGACAATGGCATTCTGCTGGCAACCACATAACCTTGGAAGAGGGCTCCAAACTCCAGAAGAGTATGCAGCCTGGCAAAGCCTTGATTTCAGCCTTGTGAGATCCTGAGAAGATAACTAAGCTCAGTTGTGCCTGGATTTCTGACCTACAGAAATTATAATATTATTTTTTGAGAATGGAGTTTTACTCTTGTTGCCCAGGCTAGAGTGCAATAGCTTGAACGTGGCTCACCGCAACCTCTGCCTCCTGGGTTCAAGTGATTCTCCTGCCTCAGCCTCCTGAGTAGCTGGGATTACAGGCGTGTGCCACCACATGGCTAATTTTTTATTTTTAGTAGAGATGGAGTTTCTCCATGTTGGTCAGGCTGGTCTTGAACTCCTGACCTCAGGTGATCTGCCCGCCTCAGGCTTGAGCCACAGCACCCAGCCAAGAAAATACTTTAATCATAGGTATTGCTTTAATTGCTATATTTCTGGTAATTTGTTATCCGGCAATAGAAAATCAATATACATTTACATATGCAGACTGAATATATGTTCATATATTGTGATTGCATAATGGAGAATTTGGAATTTAGAAAAGATCATTGTTTCAAAATGGCATAAAGATCATTAATTTTTTAACCAGCAAACTAATAAAAATGTTTGCAAATTTTAGGGTGGCTTGATGATTTAAATTACTTGATAACATTTTAGATATACTTGGTAATATCTACATAAAGGTTCTAGAATTTGACTAATTTTCTTCTGAAATCAAGGGTACACAAATATTACCTTAATATCACGAACTTCATATGCTATCCTGTGGTCAGTGACTCTATCCTGGGTGAAATTATATGTCCGAATTCGCTCTGACTGGGCTCTTGTTCCCACCTGTGCCATAACAAAAGGCAATTTACATTTTACCTTTATAAATATCTTCATTACAATGGAAAAAGCACTTGGTAAATGACTATTCCAACAATTTAGATATGTTCTAAAAGTCATAGATACAAAATGGCAAAGAACAAGAATGGGCAGAACTTAATGTTTAATACTACAGGTTTGTAGAGCGCAGTTATAGAATAAGAAGGAATGTTTCTTTGCTGTTTCAAACTCCAAATATTTAAAATCACATTAATCATCTTTCCACTCCAATAAGTTCTTCCTCCTGGTTTCCACAAATGACAGCACTGTGTATTCCCTTTTACCCAAGTAGAAAATTCTGACATTCTGCAATTTGTCAAACATTTTGTGGGTTTGAGTTTACTATGCCAGGCTTTGATACAGATGCATACAGGGGGAGAAACCATCTTCAATTCATCCTATTCTCTAACTGCCCATTTCCAATTGGTTTCATGGGTCTCTTATTATATCCTGCTCTTTCCATTTCTACTCTCACTCATGGACTCATTACTTTCACCTACAATTCTGCAAAAACCTCCTGATTAATCTCCCAGTTTTCTGCTCACATTGTGCTGCCCTACTTACTTAGTCTTCCTATAGTATGGTTTTCTGATAAATTTTCTTTGGTTCCTTCTTGTCTACTGAGCAGACACAACTCAACTCAGCATTCAAGGTACTTTGTAACGTGGCCAATCTTCCCAATGTTATTTCTGAAAATTATGTGAATCTCTATAATGCCACTAATAAGACTATATCATGTGTGTGTCTGTTATCTCTGCTATAAAACATCATCTCAAGGGATGCCCTTCCCTAACACTATCCTACCATCTCTGCCTTTCTGACCCCAGCATATATTGAAATATGTTCTCTTCTTCCTCTGAAACCTATTGTACTTAGAATCTTCTTCATGGCACACCACAGTTTGTATCATGCTACAGTTATTTGCATTCTTCTTAGTCTGCTCATCTCCTCCACCTCCCTAACCCCTGATATACCCAACACCCTGCCTCAATTGCTTTCATTTATTAAAATAAAGACATTTCTGGCCAGGTGTGGTTGCTCACACCTGTCATCCCAGCACTTTGGAAAGCCGAGGCGTGCAGATCACGAGGTCAGGAGATAGAGACCATGCTGGCTAACACAGTGAAACCCTGTCTCTACTAAAAATACAAAAAATTAGCCAGGCGTGGTAGCATGCACCTGTAGTCCCAGCTACTTGGGAGGCTGAGGCAGGACAATCGCTTGAACCCAGGAGGTGGAGGTTGCAGTGAGCCGAGATCATGCCACTGCACTCCAGCCTGGGAGACAGAGCAAGACTCCATCTTGAAAAAAAAAAAAAGACATTTCTGTAACTTACCATCTTAAACCCTAAGGCAAGTGATATGAAACTAAACTCCTGACCGCTGGAAGAATTTTTTTAAATTATGGATTCCTAAGCCCAACCTCAGATATAATGGATTAGAATTATATTTTGGAAATCCCAGATCATCTCTTCTGACAATCAGTCAGGCTTGGAAACCACTATCCCAAACCACCATATTCATGGCCAAGACCTCACTCCAGATCAGTTACATCAGAATTTCTGGGGTGGGGCCTGGGTATCTACAAAAACTCACTAGGTGATCAGTAGAGCCAGGGTTGAGAATCTGGCATAATGCCTTCTGTATAAAAACCAAGTGTATCGCCGGGCGCGGTGGCTCACGCCTGTAATCCCAGTACTTTGGGAGGCCAAGGCGGGTGGATCACGAGGTCAAGAGATCGAGACCATCCTGGTCAATGTGGTGAAACCCCGTCTCTACTAAAAATACGAAAAATCAGCTGGGCATGGTGGCGCATGCCTGTAATCCCAGCTACTCAGGAGGCTGAGGCAGGAGAATTGCCTGAACCCAGGATGCAGAGGTTGCGGTGAGCCGAGATTGACCATTGCACTCCAGCCTGGGTAACAAGAGTGAAACTCCGTCTCAAAAAAAAAAAAAAAAAAAAAAAACCCAAGTGTATCTATTGGTTGAAGAAAAAACTTCCAAGCCTTAGAAATCCCTATTTAAAAATTTCAGGTAGGTAGATAAGTTATTCAACAGGCAGTGATGTCTTTTTTGGCTGGTCAATCAGACTACCGAAGAAGACACACATGAGCAATTTGCATAAAGCCAATCCTGAATACCTATTTTAAAAATTACTTTGTGGGCTGGGTGCAGTGGCTAATGCCTGTAAATCCCAGCACTTGAGGAGTTTGAGGTAAGCAGATCACATGAGGCCAGGAATTCGACACCAGCCTGGCCAACATGGCAAAATCCCATCTCTACTAATACAAAAATGAGCCAGGCATGGGGGTGCATTTCCGTAATCCCAGCCACTCAGGAGGCTGAGGCACAAGAATCACTTGACCCCAGGAGGCAGAGACTGCAGTGAGCCAAGATCATGCCAACCTACTCTAGCATGGATGACAGAGCGAGAATCTGTCTCAAAAAATAAAAATAAAAATAAAATTATTACTTTGTGGAACCTCTAGGGCCAAAATGTTAAACGGCAAATAAATCTAAATGTCTTTTTAAAATTCAAATGTGGCAGAGCTCATAGTATTTATGTTATCACTTATTTGCCATGAAGTAATGGTGTATACTCAGGGTATATTGTTTGCTTGTTAAAAACGAAAATAAGTTATGGTTTGTAAATAAGCATTCCTATCTGCAAGTGAATACACTGATGATGCTCTATAATCTGGGATTACCACTAAAGTTTTAATATTATTTATCCTGTCACTTTTACTACCTGCAAGTTAGCATGTAGGTAAAGAAGGCTAAAAACACAAAAGTGTGAAAAAGCTAGGACACATCTAGATGAAAAGTATAAATAATGCTTAGGTTTAGACAATTCATTATCCTAAAAGGCCACAAAATCTTCCAAATTTAAATTACTGTAGCATAGCCAGGTGTGGTGGCACACACCTGTAATCCCAGCTACTTGGGAGGCTGAGGCATGAGAATCGCTTGAACCCAGGAGGTAGAGGCTGCAGTGAGCTGAGATTGTGCCACTGAAAACCAGCCTGGGTGACAAAATGAGACTTCATTTTTAAAAAAAAAAAAAACAACTATAGTGGACCTATGGACAAATAGCAAAAAATCAGTTATTTCTGACTACTTTTTTTTCCAGTCTCTCTCAGTGACAAACTTTACTTCTTTTAGAATTTAAATTATAGGCCAGGTGCAGTAGCTCATGCCTGCAATCCCAGCCTGACATGAGCAGATGGCTTGAGCTCAGGAGTTTGACACCAGTCTGGGCAACATAGTAAAACCTCGTCTCTACCAAAAAACAAAAAATTAGCCTGGTGTGGTGGCAAGTGCCTGTAGTCCCAGCTACTTGTGAGGCTGAGGCACAAGAATTGCTTGAACCTGGGAGGCAGAGGCTGCAGTGAGCCGAGATCATGCCACTACACTATAGCCTGAGTGACCGAATGAAACTCCATCTTAAAAAAAAAAAAGAATTTGGCCAGGAGCGGTGGCCCGTGCCTGTAATCCCAGCACTTTGGGAGGCAGAGGTGGGCAGATCACGAGATCAAGAGATCGAGACCATCCGGGCCAACATGGTGAAACCTTGTCTCTACTGAAACTACAAAAATTAGCTGGGCGTGATGGGTCACGTCTGTAGTCCCAGCTACTCGGGAGGCTCAGGCAGGAGAATCGCTTGAACTCGGGAGGCGGAGGTTGCAGTGAGCAGGGAAAGTGCCACTGCATTCCAGCCTGGTGACAGAGTGAGACTCTGTTTCAAAAAAAAAAAAAAAAAAAAGTAAATTATATATTTCGTTTACTTAAAATAATGACATTATTCATTTTGCTTAGAATTCATCTATTTATCTATTTGAATAAGTAACACTATACCATGTATATTGTACAAAATTCAAAAAGTACCAAATGATATATAAAGAAACATAAATGTCCTTTCTACCCCTTGTCCTTAATCTCCTTCAGTAGCAATCACTGTTCCCAGTTTTTTTGCAGTGTCATTTGTATTTGATCTCACATAGTTATAATACAAGCATGGGTTTTAATTTTTAAAAATTTAAAATGTTCTTAACTCTCAAATAATTACTTTGTCTTTTAAACCATTTTCCTCTTAAGACAGTAATGATACAAACATGAAGAGGGAAACAACTAGGAAATAATTTTTCAACATCTTACATTTACTAATTTGCAAACTGGTATGCCCAGGTTTAGTCATAATCCATTAGTCCATTTGCATTGAGTTACTGCCTATTCACGAAGGAGCACATTTCTCTACGCTGCAAAACGTTCCCATTTAAGCAAGAACAAATACTGCATTCTCTAAAGAAAATGATGACTTTTTGAAAAAATAGTTATTAAATTATTACACCAAGTACATATTACCTGCAGTTTTCTAGTGCTGTGTTGTTGACACTTGTTTTTCTCGATGATCTGCTGGTAGAGTCTAGCTCTCAGCACACTCAAAGCTATTTCTTTATTTCTTATCTGTGATCTTTCTTGTTGGCATTCTACTACTAGTCCTGAAAAATAACAGGGATCAGAAGGTAAACTGCAGGTTCCACAGACCAAATTAAGATAGAACTAAGGAACAGTTTAAATGTAACAGGTTAATCAGGAAAAGATCACAAAAGATAAAAACATTTTAGGTTTAGCACACTTCAGAAACTAGCTGGGTTATGATGATAGCTGTAGTTGGCTCTTTGGATTCTGATGTGTAAATGAGATGTTCTGTATGAGCGCCCAAAAAGCAGCAGCATCTGCAGATGGTTACCTATCTTTCAGTCCCTGAGCCTGGCCTCTTCTTCCTAGCTCATCCAGGCATTTCTGCAGCTCAACAAACAGCAAATTACTGCTACTCCCTATGCTGCACTGCTCCATTCTCTGTCCAATTCAAGAACTCGCCTTTTCCCCTTTCAATCACAAATATACACAGAGCTGAGGTTTTAAAAATACCTTTATAGAAAGAAGCCAATGGAAGGATGCTACTCAGAGCTTTTAAAAAGAAGAGTTTACAGGGAATGTTTCTGAGTTGTCTGAGTTCTAAATTTCTAAGTTGTTCTACATAGTCTGAGTAAGCAGGGGTCCAGCTAATCAATACATCTAACCACAAACAAGATTTGGCTGGCCAGCTTCTGCATTTGGATGGGTTTAGCCCACTGTGTAGTCCAGTTCCTGGCCCAAATCCAGCTCTAAATTGATCACTTCTTGAGGCTGTGTCGTTCTTAACTTTGCAGCTATCACTCAGAAGGTCCGTGTCTAATCCCGCTCCTCAGTAAATTAGAGGAGAAAGGGATTTTTTTTCTGCATCACAAAAACTAAAAACCAAAAACCCCATTAATATAGCCAATCTGCACCAATACAGTGGTAAATATTTTGCTGGAGATTTAAAGAATTTCTATAACATTCTATTCTCTGAACTATGTTTTCTCCCTGTCTAAATAAGCTGCAGTCTCTACCTGCTAATACTTTTAGTAGGGCACTGAGGTTTCACCTCTACTAGTTTAAACTTACTTCTTGACTACTTCACTGCAGCCATCTGGCTGGGCTGGGGGCACTGACTGGCACCCATTTTCCAGGTATTTGTCTGGAGTTTCCTTGAATCTCGTATCCTTTTTGTACTACCCAAAAGAATATGAACATTTCCATTTTAAGACGGCTTGGGCTTTCATGAACTTTCCTCCACATTCCTCTTCTTGTCAGGGATGATCAGAGGTCAGGGCCTTCACTGCCTCCAGTAATAAGTGATGGCCCCCTGGTCCCACTGCCTCTCTTAATCTGTCTTTTTCTCATTCCTTTGTTGCCACCGAACTCGGGGTACCCATGGGTGATGTAGGGCTGACTCCCTACATTCTGGTGCCCAACATGGGGCTCATGGATCCCTATGTTTTGGCACCCAATGTGTAGGGCTCACGGACTCCCTACAATTAACCATATTGGTGCTATAGTGCTGCAGAACACCAGAACGAATTCTTCCTATCCAGCTGTAATTCTGTATCCTTTACCCAACCTATCTCTATCCTCCCCTCCCCCTTGCCCTTCCTAGCCTCTAACCATATTTCTACTCTCTGTAAGTCACTTTTTGTAAAGTCAGCAATTTATGGCTACACAGGGTGGTTTTACAAACCTTTAATATGTTTTAAAGTATTCTGGTTTATTTTGTCAGAATTTTGATTACCTTTTACCCTATTTTTTACTCATTTTAATTTTTAACTTATCTTAAGCTAAGTATTAATGTTCTGGACTGCATATAATATAGAATGATATCCAACAGTACAGGGTTTAGGTGAAACACATTAAGTATCCAACAATTTATGGATTATTAAAGTAAATTATGGCAAGTTACAAAAAGCATAACCTCAGGTTGGGCGCGGTGGCTCATGCCTATAATCCCAGCACTATGGGAGGCTGAGATAGGTGTATCACTTAAGGTCAGAAGTTTGAGACCAGCCTGGCGAACACGGTAAAACCCAGTCTCCACTAAAAAGACAAAAATTAGCTGGGTGTGGTGGCGCATGCCTGTAGTCCCAGCTACTTGTGAGGCTGATGCAGAATCACTTGAACACGGAAGGCAGAGGTTGCACCACTGCACACCAGCCTGGGTGACAGAGCTAGACTCCATCTAAGAAAAAAAAAAAAAAAAAAGCATAACCTAATTTTGGGGGGAAAAATGGCATATTTTTATATGGATAGAAAAGAATTTGAAAGGATGTATACCAAAGATACATGTCAACAATGGTTCTGGGTTATTATTATGGATGTTTTGTTTTGCTCATGCATATATTCTTTTTTTTTTTTTTTTTTTTTTTACAGTTTTCTATGGAATAAAAATCAATAAAGAAAACAAGAGAAAATATGAAATTATCTTCTTGTTGGATATTTAGGTTGTTTTAGCTTTTCATATAACACACAACACAAGCAATCATAATAAGCTGAAAATGAATTTAAAATTTAAAAATGATGTCTGACTTCAAGATGGTTTCCTTTTTTTTTTTTTTTTTGAGAAGGAGTTTCGATCTTTTTGCTCAGGCTGGAGTGCAATGGCACAGTTTCAGCCCATTGCAACCTCCACCTCCTGAGTTCAAGTGATGCTCCTGCCTCAGCCTCCTGAATAGCTGGGACTACAGGCATGCACCACAACACCTGGCTAATTTTTTTGTATTTTTAGTAGAGGTGGGTTTCACCATTTTGGCCAGGCTAATCTCAAAGTCCTAACCTCAGGGCATCCGCCTGCCTTGACCTCCCAAAGTGCCAGGATTACAGGCGTGAGCCACTGTGCCTGCCCCCACCTTTTTAAAATCATACTACAACAAGAACAAGGAACAGAAACACAAACTCCATCTGAAATAAAACTAGGTCATGTATATATGCCCAAACATGATCTATAAAGACAGAAAGTGGTTGGAAGAATGGTAAATGACTTAGCAGATGGAAGGAAGATGAGACTTAATTCCCTGTAGAGGGAGATGCTGACCAGAAACTGGCCAATTTGCCCTGCTAAGTGCCAGAAAGGCTCAGAAATAGAGACACCAGGTATTTCAGAAGTCAGGCTTGAGAAGCTGGGGCTGAATACAGAAAGTCTGTAATAACCAATAGATCCTCAAGTCTCCTCTCTCAATCTGCAGAAGGCAGGAGGTATATTTCTGGATAATTAAATCAGGAAAGTTCTAGACTTGGGACTAGGTACAAGGGAGGGCAAGTGTGGACCACGGGCCTGAAGACAAGAGGATTAAGTAAAAGGCTACTATTGAATGGTGAGACCTTGACCTTACTCTTAGCTGTATCCTGGAAGATCCTTCTCAGGAGAAAACAAACTCACAAGAGAAAAGATCTGCAGACATAGATATCTGGGGGATCCTAATAAAAAGCTGATTAATCCTCTAACTGCCCTACAGTGGAACTCACTAGTGGGTATGCGGATAAGTGCACTCCAAGCTTTTAGAACCTGACTCTTAAATATGTATAGACAGCCAAGAATTCCTAGACATTTCTAGCATGAAAGTGAATGGGCTGAGTGCAGTGGCTCATGTCTGTAATCCCAACATTTGAGATGCTGAGGCAGGCAGATCGCTTGAGCCCAGGAACTGGAGACCAGCTTGGGCAATGTGGAGAAACTTGGTGACTACCAAGAAAAAAATCCAAAAATTAGCTGGGCGCAGTGGCAAGTGCCTATAGTTGTGCTACCAGGAAGTGGGGCGGGGAGTGGTGCTGAGGTAGGAGGATCACCTGAGCCTGGGAAAGTCACAGCTGCAGCGAGCTGTGATCACACCACTGTACTGCAGCCTGGGCAACAGACTGAGACGTTGTCTCAAAAAGAAAAAAAAAGAAAAGAAAGAATGAAACAAAGATAAACTCAGAGGAAACAGAGACACTGCAGAAAGCAGAAGAGCACTTCAGGGAAACGAAAATTAATATCCTTGAGCAATAAAAAAGAGAAATCAGTATCAAAAAATAAGAAAAAATGCTATGAAAAAAATTTTGAGAACAAGAAAGAGCACTCAAAAGTTAAAAAAAAATAATTTTTTTTAAAATCAGGAAAAGGGTAGGAAAAAGAACTAAAAAACAAAGTGACAGACAATATGAAAAAAAATGATAAATTCAAGAGGTCTAACATCTAACTAATAGAAATCCAAGGAAGAATAAAGAAAATATTATGTAAGAAATTACTAGGAAAGTATTTCAGAGCTGAAAGGCATGAGTCTCTAAACTGAAAGCAACAAATATGAGGAATGAAAAAGATTTTCACTATTCTAAGGGGAAATGATTTCCAACAAATGATCAATGAAGTGTGAAGTTAGAGTAGAGCTTTTTTTTTCCTTGAAGTAGTTGCTGGGGGGGAAAAAAAAAGCTATTTTCAGATCTGCAAAGCCTTGTAATATTTACATGTCACAGGTCTTTTCTAAGGAAGCCACTTAAAGATGAGCTTTGTTAAAATGACAGAGTAACAAAGAGAAAAGATGATATGGAACCCAAGAAATGGGAGGATCCAACACAGAACAGAGATGAAGGGAACTTCCCAACTGCTGGTGACCAGGACAACCCCTGTGCAGTGCCCCGGGGAGCAGCTGGTCTACACTGGAGCAAGATGATAAGAGTGCTCTGTCAGGGAGTCTCCAGAAAGCACTGGAGCGACTTCATTTTACACAGCTTTTGGAAGATGTAGGCAGACTCAGAGTCAAAGAAAAGTAAGCAAATGGAAAATCAGTGAGGTAATTATTAACTCTAGGAAATGAAATCACAGGACTGTATACTAATGGGCTTAGCATCAAACACTATCTGTTCATTATATGAAAACAGTGAAGATTAATTTTGCCAAAAGATAAATATTTGGAAGAGGAAGGGATATAAGAGGGGTAAAATTCTCATCTACCACATCAAGACGTAAATATGTAATCTTTATAGTTGGTCAGAAGAGCACTATTTGCCTATTATTTAGAAATACTGAGGTAATTACCAGAAGAAATAACTAAAAGAGGTTTGTTTGTTTTTTGTAGGTAGAGAAATGAGCTATAAGAATTTAAAGTGGTTATCTCTAGGAAATGGGAATTGAGGGTAGAGGAAGTAGGAAGAAGGTGGGAACAAGTCCAGAGGTCTGCTAGTTTTTTTGTTATTGGATTTTGCCATTAGACTTTTAAAATAATATACATCGTGTAAAAATTAATTTTAAAAAGAAAAATTAAGAAGTTAAAAAAGTTTTTAATGTGAAAAACCGTAGGTATATTTAAAATCACATTGCAAACCACAAAACTACCTGAGTATGCCAGAATTACCAATATTCAAAATAAAAGCATTAGTGCAGCAAAGCCTAATGGAGTTAGCCATCAAGCTACAGATGACAGAAGATCCACGGCAGTAGCCCATCCAAGGCTACTTCTGTGTTTCATTTGTATTTAGGCAGAGCCACCTCTGGTTGCTCACTCCTGTCCAGCATACCTGGGAGCTTCCCTGAATAGGTCTGCTCACTGTCTGCTCTTTTCAGAAAGGAAATCTTTCCAAACAGAAGGGGAATATAAACACAATAGACATCCTGATCCACAACCCCAGTGACATTTTTAAAGAGCTGTGCAGGGAACCAGATACTTACACAGGACGATTTCCTTCCAAATGCTGAGTAAGATGGGAAAAATGGTTAAAAGTACAAAGCCAAGGGACTTGCTCACCTGTGGGGATATGGACAAGTCTGACGGCACTATCAGTTGTATTAACATGTTGCCCTCCTGCTCCTCTGGCTCGAAATGTATCTATTCGCAAATCCTTGGGGTCCAATTTCACATCTACCTAGAAAAGAAGGCATGGCATAATTCTACACTCCAGGAATTCCTTAATACAAAATTGATTCTGAGATTTTTCGAATAAACTGTACTGTTTTAAGATAAGTCATAGCTATTAGACTAAGAGACGCAACTTATACCAAATAAAGGGCAATAAACTCCCCATTCCAATAGGATGCTATTTTGTTTGAGACAGGGTCTCCCTCTGTTGCCTAGGCTGGAGTATAGTAGCACAATCATAGCTCACTGTAACCTCAAACTCCTGGGCTCAAGTGATCCTCCTGCCTCAGCCTCCTGAGTAGGTAGGACTATAGGTGCACACCACCATGCCAGGTTAATTTTAAAAATTTCTTGTACTGATGGGGTCTTGCTATGTTTCCCAGGCTGGTCCTGAACTCCTAGCCTCAAGCGATCCTCCTTGGACTTCCTGAATGCTGAGATTACAGATAGGAGCCACCCCGCCTGGCCCTGGGATGCCATTTTTAAGCACTGATTTAGGATGTTATGAGATTACTGAGTTTGCAATCTTTCAAAAGTTTCATCATTCATCATCCCAAAGTAAATGTTAAAAAAAAAACCCGGCCAGGTGTGGTGGCTCACGCCTGCAATCCAAGCACTTTGGAGGCCAAGGCGGGCAGATCACCTGAGGTCGGGAATTCAAGACCAGCCTGACCAACATGGTGAAATCCCGTCTTAAAAAAAAAAAAAAAAAAAAAACAACTCCAAAAATATATAAAATACACACTATATATTGATTCTCACTATTGTCAGAATATCTATTTGCAAATTTGCCTACTCACTAAAATTTGCTTGTATTCTCAAATCAATACCCGAGGCACATCCACAGTCATTTGCAGACATGCATAGAGCAGTGAAAAATATGAACTGCTTCACACTTGCCTACTACCAGCTGAAGTAGGACAAGGTAACACTCTACCTTCTTATTGCAGCTCTTCCACAGAGGCGACCAGAGAACAGAGGTGTAGGGGGCAGAGGAGAGCAGTGCTCTGGCTCTGGGGCCAGCTGGACTGGGTTTGAATCTGAACTCTAGCACCTGTTAGTGGAGCTGCATCAGGCAAGTCACTTGACACTCATGAGCCTTGTTTTCTCTTTTGTAAAGTAGAGAGAATCTACCAGGATGGGTTATTTTTAGAATATAAGATTATAATAATGAGCTCAGTATGTGTTTGTGTGTATGTGCATGTGTGTATGGACTCAGCTAATTTTTTTTTTTTTTTTTGAGACAGGGTCTCACTGTTGCCCAAGCTGGAGTGCAATGGTACAATCATAGCTCACTGCTACCTTGAACTCCTGGGCTTAAGCAGTTTTCCTGCCTCCACCTTCTGAGTAGCTGGGACAACAGGCGTGTGCCACCACACCCAGCTGTTCCTAACACTGATTTAGCAAATACTGAACCATTACTCCCAAGTGGTTCACTATCTATAAATCAGTGTTTGCTGTAACTTTACAGAACATAACTATTAGGAATAATGAAAACCAACTTTATTCATGTATGTGTATGTTTATTAGTGGATTGAAAGGTGGCTCCCAAAAAGATACATTCATGTTCTAACTCATGGAACCTTATTTGGAAAAAGGGTCTTTGCAGATGTAATTAAGATGGGATTGTCCTGGATTATCAGAATAGGCCCTAAATCCAATGACAAGTGTTCTTATAAGAAACTAACTAGAGGAGACAGTAAAGAAGAAGACATTGCGAATTTGGAGAGTGGTATAGTTTCAAGCTGAGCAATACCTGGAGCAACCAGAAGCTGGAAGATGCAAGGGAGGATTCTCCCCACAGCCTTCAGAGAGGCACAACCCTGCTGACACCTTGATTTTAGACTTCTGGGTGCTAGAACAGTGAAATAAGTTACTGCTATATAAAGCCACTAAGTTTGTGGTAATTTGTTACAGCAGGCTGTGGAAACTTACATATATTACACACACACACACACACACACACACACAAATAGTTAACAAATATGCTTTTTTTTTTTTTTTTAGACAGAGTCTTTCTTTGTTGCCCAGGCTGGAATGCAGTGGCATGATCTCAGAATTCACCGTAACATCTGCCTCCCATGTTCAAGCAATTCTCCTGCCTCAGCCTCCCGAGTAGCTGGGATTACAGGCCTATGCCAACATACCCAGCTAATTTTTGTATTTTTAGTAAAGATGGGGTTTCACTTTGTTAGCCAGGCTGGTCTGGAACTCCTGACCTCAAGTGATCTGCCCACTTCGGCCTCCCAAAGTACTGGGATTACAGGCATGTGCCCCTGTGCCCAGCCTACAACAAATATGCTATTTTTAAGGGGAGAGCTAATATTTTATTCCACATCCATCATTTATTAGTATGAATGACAGAAAGCAAGTGTGACTTTTCTCTTTGAAAAGTAGTAACAGGGTCAAGGTTGGAATCTAACATACTATTTAGCTGATTTTTTTGTATGTTTCCTCTCAAATGACTGCTACATAGTGAAGAAAAAGATTATATGGCTTTTGTTAAAATCTGTGAGAGTCGGCTACCTTAAGACTTAAATAAATACTGAAGAGGTAAGAGTAACTTACCATTTTATGTAGCTACAGTATATTAAGTAGTTACGTAGAAAATGTGTGGATAACATACTTGATATTCTCCCAAATGTTACAGAAATTATCTAATAACTTTTGGGGAACTCTGGGTACAGATGTGACTTAGGGCAGATGAAGTATTTTATTTTATTTTATTTTGTTTTTTGAGATGGAGTCTCACCCTGTCGCCCAGGCTGGAGTGCAATGATGCAAATGTCGGCTCACTACAACCTCTACCTCCTGGGTTCAAGCAATTCTCTTGCCTCAGCCTCCTGAGTAGCTGGGATTACAGGCATCTGCCACCACGTCCATATAATTTTTTGTATCTTTAGTAGATACAGGGTTTCACCATGTTGGTCAGGCTGGTCTTGAACTCCTGACCTCATGATCCACCCACCCAGCCCACCAAATTACTGGGATTATGGGCGTGAGCCATCACGCTCAGCTTTCTTTTTCCTTTTACTTAATTTTATTTTCATATGTAAACATTCACATGGCTCAAAAGTCAAAACCATAGGGTTATCTTGCTTCCATCCTTATTTCTTCTACCCCACTCCTCCTACTTACCCTGTTTTTGTTTCCTTTTTTTTTTGAGATGGAGTCTTACTCTGTCACCCAGGCTAGAGTGCAGTGGCCTGTTCTCGGCTCACTGCAATCTCTGCCTCCTAGGCTCAAGCAATTTTCCCACCTCAGCCTTGCGAGTAGCTGAGACTATAGCTGTGTGCCACAATGCCCAGCTAATTTTTGTAATTTTTGTAGAGAGGAGGTTTTGCCATGTTGCTTAGGCCAGTCTTAAACTCCTGAGCTCAAGTGATCTGCCTGCCTCAGCCTCCCAAAGTGCTGGGATTACAGACATGGGCCAGTGACATAGTGAAACATGGTGAAACCCCGTCTCTACTAAAAATTCAAAAATAAGCTGGGCATGGTGGCACACCCCTGCAATCCTAGCTACTCAGGAGGCTGAGGCAGGAGAATCACTTGAACCCGGGAGGTGGAGGCTGCAGTGAGCCGAGACTGCACCATTGCACTCCAGCCTGGGCAACAGAGCACGACTCCATCTCAAAAAAAAAAAACAGAGAGAAAAGAAAAATCAAATCCTAAAATGAGATAAAAACAGAAATAAATGAACCAAAATAGTTATCATGATGATAACATAACTACACAGAAAAAGATTATTTCAGATGATCTTTGAGCGTAGTGCTCTGACTATGCATTCTTTTTTTTCAAATAGAATCTACTCTGTCACACAGGCTGGAGCGCAATGGTGTGATCTCGGCTCACTGCAACCTCTGCCTCCCGGGCTCAAGCAATTCTCCTGCCTCAGCCTCCCGAGTAGGGGGGACTACAGGCATGTGGCACCACCCTTGGCTAATTTTTTGTATTTTTAGTAGAGACAGGGTTTCACTGTGTTGGCCAGGCTGGTCTCAAACTCCTGATCTCAAATGATCCTGTCTGCCTTGACATCCCAAAGTGCTAGGATTACAGGCATGAGCTACTGCACCCAGCCTGACTATGCATTCTTGGTAGAATATATTCTAAAGACAAAAATCGTAAACATTACTCAGTAGTTTACTATTAGTAATGTTAATATTATAATTTTGGAACTATTTTATATATAGTATATAATGAACCAAGTAAACATATTAAAGTGATTAGAAAATAAGATTTTTTATATTAGAGAGATGTAAATATAAAATGCAATAAGTTGAGAGGTGAAAAAAATTTCTGAAATGTTAAATTTGTATTGGTAGTAACAATATGAAGCTATGATTTCAAAACATGTATTTCCTGGCTATATCCACTCAAACAGTCTAGAAGTAACAGCACTAACAATAATAAACATACCTACTATCTAGATCTTGATTTCTGGATACACTCCCCTCTAAAATGAACCAGGCTGATTCTAAGTCCGAGGCAGGATAGTACAAAATGGGCCTGGGAATCTAACTATATCAGAAAGCATAGATGCACTCAAAGAACGATGGTATCATTTCAAAAAGACAAAAGGGGTGCCCTAAAAAGGCTACTATAGACCAAATCTGGGACTATTTGAACATAAAGAAGACTAGGAACTATAAATAAGTGAATTAAAACATGAATCCATGAGTCTATAATGAGGTTAATATGTGAAACTTGATATGAGTATAATTAAATCATACACTAGAGAAAGAACGCAAGAAAGTGTGGGCTAGGAGGTGAGGGTAGTAGGGAGGAAAGTTCTTCACAGAAGAATGCCAGTTTGTAAATGTGGAAGGAATGACAGAATTAGAAAATCACCATCTTGCAACCCCAAAGTAAAGAACTGATTCAGGCAAGGATCACCAATGGATGTTAAAACCATGGATGAGAGGCAACTGGGAACAGGATATATGTATCCTAGAAATTACTTAGTAATTGCAAAGGGAGAAATATACTTTTACAATGGAAATATTTCTGTGGTCACCATCTTCAGTAACTACTAAAACTAAGGCACACTAAAAGTGGGACAATCTAGCATTATATGCCTCCTGATAAGATGCAACATGACTATAACCGCACTTATAAAGTATTTTCACTCAAAATGTGTAACCTGCATAGAATGGAACATGTAGATATAACTTTCAACATACAGTGGATAAAGGAAAAAGTTAAAGAGTACCATGAAGAACAATCAGAGGAATCCAAAATGTGGGACATTCTTCAAGACCAATGGTCCAGACTTTTCAAAAAGTCAATGTCATTAGAAAAAAAACAAGTTAGGAGACTGTTCCAAACTTAAAAAAATATAGCAACTAATTGCAATGTGTGAAACTTGTAAGGATCCTGGTTAAAAAAAAAAAAATCACAATACCCAGGTACAGTGGCACGCCTGTAGTCCTAGTTACTCAGGAGGTTAAGGCAGGAGGATCACCTTGAGCCCAGGAGTTTAAGTTCAGCCTGAGTAACATAGGAAGACCCTGCCTCCAAAAATAGATAAATAAATAGCTATAAAAATACTTTTGGGCTGATTAGGGAAGCTGTTAAATGTACTAGAGATTAGATAATATTACACAATTATGGTTAGTTTTCATAGGTAATGGTAATCTGCTTATATCGGAGAGTGCCCTAGGAGATGTATGTGAAAGATTTGGAAGGTAAAGTCTCATGGTGTCTGCTGTATCCTTCGTAGTTCATTTAAAGAAATGTATATATATATATATATATAT